GGTGTCCTTCAAGGTGCAGTCATAGATCTTGCCCAGGCTCTTCACTGGCTTCTCTCCCACAGATGGAATCTGGGTGGCTCCTAGTGAGAAGCGAAACCGGTCTGTAACCTTCCCCTTCTTCACCACCAGGGACCTGGACTTGGCTGGCTTGAAGTTCATCCGGGCCCAGCTTACAAGACGCTCCAGGCCTTGGAGGATCCACCTACAGCCCGGGACTGATGTTGTAGTCACTGTCAGATCATCCATGAATGCTCTGATAGGGGGCTGCCGCACACATGCATCTGTGATCTCATTCTTTTGTACACTACCTAAACATCATGAGTGTAAGTGAGTATTGGAACACAGATTGACTGGTAAAGCTGTTAACCTTCTGGCTCATTCCTGCCATGGGCCAGTGTTGATCAGCAGCTTTGTCAAACATGTAGTCAAAAGATCACCTCTTGTCCCAGTATTTGGCGTCTTCAAAAAAGGTTTCCAAGGAAAAAGTCTTCAGAGTCTGTGAATAATTCAATACAAAGGCTGCAAGAACAAACGTGAGCAACTTCTCGATATTTTAACTAACAAACAATGCATTACATTTCCTTATATACTTATGCAGCTTCTCCCAACTCTTCTCCTCCCCATGGAAGCCCAACCCATCTTCTTTGATACCAGTCAAAAACCTCAGTCAGCATGAATGTGTAGTTGACGGTGTAATCTGACGCTCATAATTGGGGTGCTCTTCTTTCCCCTCCCAGCAACTGGGACGTTACGCCCACCCCAGAAACCCCCTCTCGGCTGGACCCTGGTGACCTTGATTTCACCTCACTCACACATACAGAACGCTGGGCTTCTGCAGTGCAGAGAGCCGGGTGTCCAACATGAAGGGAGAACTGGGGCTTCTAACGTGTTTTGTTTTCTTTTGCATGCAACTCCAAAAGAAAACATGTGTCACCTGGCATGACCTCTCCCTTGGAGGCCAAGCTGTGTCTGCGAAAGGCTTTAATGGCATGTTCGCTGCTGTCTGCTAACAATACCACAGTGCAAAGGGCCATATTATATTATATTTTAAAGATACTAAAATAAGAATTGTGTGACACCAAAGCTGACCGTGATGTTTAAAAGGAGTTTTTCATCCTTACAGTCTGTTTTGCTGGTTCCAAACTGTTAAGAAATGCATTCTTTAGATTACTGTTCAATCCTGACTGCACCCTGTTCATGCCAAGGTTGAAAACTCATTCACATTTTTCATTCTGAGAACAGAACATCTTGATCTCAGCTGAGATGTCTGTCCTGTTACCTCAGGTTGATGATCCACTTGTTCAACAGTTTCCACCATATTTTAACACCTCAAAAGTGAAATTTTAACTTGTAGCAGCATTTCTGACCTCTCTGTTGGCCTGTGTGGTTTTACAGCTGATGGAACACTGCCTCGCCGTCTATCCTGACAGCACCATCATCTCCCATCTCACCATTGCACAAAGTGTTAGTACTGCTGCTAATATCTACTGTGTGACAAGATACTAGGATTGTAGTCTGTCTGAATCATACTGACGCTCATTTGTGTGTTATGACAACAGCTCTTTTCAAGTCCAACCTCAAAAACTCAACTGGACTGTGGTCTTAGCTCAGACTTGGCCACTCCAAGACATTGACCTTGTTGTCTTTAAATCATTTCTGTGCTGTGTCTGTGAAGATTCTCAGTCATCCAGGTCATGGTTATTCTTGTAGATTAATCGTAGCAGCTGGACTTGCTTGAGTTCCTTGAAGACGTTCAGGTTTTCCACCAGGATTTCCCTATACTTTGTTGCATTCATTTTACCCTCTACATCAGGGGTGGGCAATCCTGGTCCTCGAGGGCCACAATCCTGCATCTTTTAGATGTTTCTCTCTTCCAACACACCTGATTCAAATGATCGGGATCGTTCAGGCTTCTGCAGAGCTTGATGATGAGCTGATCATTTGAATCAGGTGTGTTGGAAGAGAGAAACATCTAAAAAATGCAGGATTGTGGCCCTCGAGGACCAGGATTGCCCACCCCTGCTCTACATCATGATGATGCCACCACCGTGCTTTACAGTGGAATGATTATGTGCAGTGTTTTGTGTCCACCATTTGGTCTGATATCTAAAAGCTCAATCCTGGTCTCATCAGACCACAGAACCTTCTTTCAGTTGACTTTAGTAGTTGTTTTTCTACATTTTTGGGATGTGGCTTAAGTCTCTCCCTGTACTGAGTCAGCGTGGACTATATGTCTGAAATCTTAATGTGAGCCTTTGCAGATCGACCTGTCCTGCAATCTTTTTTCAACCTGCTCTGTCTATATGAAAACATATTCGGAGGTCAGTGGATCAAAGAGGGACAGTTGGAGCTTGATCATAATAAATGTTGACTAATGATACTCACACCAGGTTTGGTGGAAAGTGAATGTGTATATTTGGCTTTCCGGCACTCACATGCACGCCCGCTGTTAGGGGGGGGACAAACGGGTCTGTTGTCCCGGGCCCAGAGTGGCGGGGGGGCCCAGAACTGGACCCTCATTGAATTATGGATTTTTTTTTTCCCCCAAAGAAGGGCTAATAATGGAAAGAAACAGTGCAATATTTGAGTTAGAAGTTTTAATTTGTTTTCGTCTGAACTGTCCTTAATATCTTTGGAGTTGCCCTCCACCCCCACCTCCAACATAAAATGGTTTGGCCCCTGATCAAC